CACAACACTTGGAGCAAAGTCTTTAAGACAAGGTAGGGTTAGACAGAGGCCCTGAAGAACTTTAGCGAAAGAACTTTGTCTTAAGGATACAGATGGCTTATACTATGCAGTTGCTCTGAGACATCCGCCCTCAGGAAGAGCAAGAATCGAGGAAGATCCAGGAAGCAAGGGGTATTTATACACAATGGAGGGCTACTTCACTATAAAGTGGGATAGACATGAGGCATTTGCTGGTAAATAGATCCGATTTTATTTATTTATTTATTTGGCTGCTCAGGCTGCCTTAAGGGTGGGCCTGGTGTGGCATGGGGAGCTGGGGACTGAACCACGGTCCCCTGTGCCTGACTGGGTTCGCTCATGCAGGCGTTTAAACAATCAAGCTAACTGGCAAGCCCCTGGATACTATTTTAGAATATAAAATGAAATGAAATAAATCAGATGCAAAAGTTTAAATATTGCATGGCTTCTCTTATGAAAAACTCTCTCTCTAATATACGTTATATATTATATTTAATATAGGTACACACAAATAAAGAGCAAAAGGGAAGTTATATAAATAGAAGTAGGGAGAAGCTCAAATAATCGCCTAATTTATGTATTCCATAGTCTCAAAAATATTTTAGTATGTATACTAATTTGTTTCATTTGTACTAATAGTTTCTCTCAGTTCATTGAAAAGAAAACGTTGTGTTATTATCTGTTTCTCTTTTGTAAGTCTTTTTTGTCTATATCTTGCACGCTGAGTAGCTACTTATTTGATTATGATACATAATGTGCTAAACATATAGTATATTATTATTCTTATTTTATAATCAATTTTTTAAATAAAATAACAACATAGAAAAGTAGTTAAAAATCTTGGCAAGGCACGAAGTTTCAGTTAAACTGGAAAAATAATTATCTATTGCATTACATGGTGACCACAAGTAATAATAATGTATCATATAGAATTGCTAAAATAAGGGCTGGCCTGATAGCTCAGTGGATTAAAATGCTTGCTTAGGCAGAGCGCAGCGGCTTGGTTCAATTGGCGACGTGCTGTGCCAGCCCCTCCCCCTGGACACTGCTGAGACCATGATTGAGACTGGGTGTGGTGGTGCATGCCTGTAATCCCAACAATTGGGAAGCTGAAAACAAGAGAATCACTGTAGGCCCGATCTATGTAATGAGACCCTGTAGACCCTGTAGATCCTATCCTAAATACAGACAAAAAAATTGCTAAAATAATGCATTTTAACATTCTCACCATCAAAATGATAAATTCATAAGATGATAAATATGTTAATTAGCCTGATTGACTCTTGCTACAATGTATATGTATATGAAAATATGACATTTTGTCTCATAAATATACATAATTATTTGTTGAATGAAAATAAATTAATTATAAAGCTCTTACCATGGGTAAGAGGTCAAAGACTTATCCCAAGTTATTTTTTTCCAAATGTGTTTATGGGTTAGATTTTTATTATGGGAAAACAGACAAAAAACAACAGTAGTTGTGTGGCTGTAGATTGACAATTCACGCGTGACTCAGTTGAGCTTTGCTCTTTCATGTCTTGGCCTTCAGCTGCCTTGGTAGCTGGGGGCTGGTGATCCAAGATGACCTACTCATTGGCATGACTTGCGTCTGTCCCACATATCCTGTCGTCTGCCATCATGTGAACACTAGCTAGTTGGGTGGGGATCCAAGGAAGGCAGACATGAGTGCCAGGTCTTCTCAGACGCATGCGCAGCACTTTCACAAGACAGCTTCTGCCTCGTTGTGTTGGCCAATGCAAATACCAAGGCCAGTCCAAATTCAGAGGATGGGAAATAGGCTCCTATTCCAGGTGGGAGGAGCTTCAAAATCCATTTTTAACAGCTGCATGGAAGCAGAGATTTGGCAGAGAAGAACAAGGTCCCGCAAAACTTGCTTGGAGGGTGTGTCTATGCCTTGGTTAGCAAAGACTGGTCAGTTTCATGCTCCCCTTGAAATGAACTCAGCATGGGAGGACTTTCCCAAAGAAAATCAAAATCAAGAGAAACTGCCTGAGTGACATTCTTGGTTTTGAAACTCACCACCCTTAGCTATATAATGTCACCAAAACACAGACACTCCAAGGAGACTTTCTCATCTGCACAATGAGTTTAATTATACTTACAAGCTTATTGTTGTTGATATATATATATATATATATATATTTGATGCTTAGTAACTTCCTGGTTTTCACTTTGCATTGATAGTGAAATGAAAGAGAGATGCACATGTCTTCAGAGGAGAATGCAGGGAAATTTCTAAACGCTAAAGCTTACCCTAGCTTGCTCTTGCTGTAGTAGTTAAGAAGCATCAGTCACAAAGGAGACCTATTACGCTCAGAAACCAAGGACGTAGCAGAGCCATATTCAGCCAGGAAGTATTGGGGTAGCCACACCACATACTTCGACTTTGTCATCTTTCTGACTGGGTGCTGCCCACACTCTTTAACAAAGTTCTTTTTCTGGAAAATAATGTGGTTTTCTGGACTTTCTGGAGATGTCATTGGCCTCCCAAAGGGTTCAACAAATGTGTGTTGGATGAGCCTTGGAATGACTGGACAGGTAAATGAATGACTTCACATGATTTCTGCTTACTTGGAGATGGCTTTGGAAGGCAGAAGAGTTTTAAAATCAAATGACAATCCTGTTTTGAAAGCTACTAGAGGGAGCATTTTAGAGTTAGAAAGGCAGGTATAAATTTTAACACAATTGGATGTTTGCTTTTCTTCTTTTTCTTGACTCTGTTTATCTTTTCAGTCCAAACTAGTGCTTAAAAATAATACTACTAGGATTTTCTTAGGTTTAAAGTGGGATTTCATTAATTTGTCCTCCTAGCAGTTTTGAGTAGTTGTGCTTATGTGCAAGTAGCATACCTCATAGTTTATAAAAATAAAATTTGATAAAGAAGTCTGTAGTAGATTTTTTTCTTTTTAATATTTTTTTTTTGTGTGTGTTTTGGTACAGAGTCTCATTACGCAGCGCATTCAGGGTCCGGGGTCCAGCATGGCATGCAGTATTGGGGATCGAACTGGGGACCTTGTGTTTCCAGCCAGGCACTTAGACTACTGAGCCATCTTCCCAGCCTCTGTAGTAGATTTTCTTATCTTAGAACTGAAACTGCAAGTACTGTAGGCAGAGATTAAAACGGTTGCCTGAAATCAGGTACTCAGGGCCCTGTACCCCTGCCCCAACCCTGCTGCTGTGCCTCAAGCCTTCATGCTTCTGGAACTATAGAAGTGCCTAGTTACCTCTCTGCCTTGTTCTTCTGTCTGGAGCACTCTGAATTTTAGCTTGCTTGTCTTCTCACCTTCACCCAGAATTGGGAGATGACAGACTCTGGACAGAGGCAGTAACTGGTTAGCAAAGTCCCATCTGAAGCCAAAGCACACAGGTTTCATCTGTTTGCTAAGTAGAACCCATTTGGAGCATTTGAGAAATAAGCACATTGTTGGATCTTTGTGGGCAAAGCTTCAGGGAATTTAAAATGGGGAAGGGGCACAAAAGTAAGGAAAATTGCTGTAAGTTGTACATGCTGCCTCACCTGACACATGCCAGGTTTCCACCTTCTGTCCTCCCTTTCTTCTAGGTTAGCATCTGTCCTTGACTTTTTGCATTAAGTGTAGAATTACGGTAATTACAGGAATTAAAATTACCTGATATAGACACAGAACACCTCCATATTGTACACACACTTCTCCCGAAGTCTTTCCTAACAGTAAGTGGGAGGCTGGGGAATAAAATGAATTCTCACTTTAACAAGTGGTCAACTCCAAAAAGAGAGATGGCCCATTTTTTTTCTAACTCTTTCCAGATGTCTCCATCTCTCTGTCTTTCTCTGTTTTTTTTTTTCTTTTCGTCGGTGTCTCAGTCTCTATGTCCCTCTGTCAGTCTGTCTCTGTCTCTATCTCTGTCTCTCTCTCATTTCTCAGTGTGAGTGGTGGGTACTTTTAGGCAGGAGCAGCTATTGGAAGCTACATTCCTCTGAATGCAGGGATTGAGAACTCAAGACAGCCTGGCCAGGCCCTTGCTGTGCTAGCCAGTTGTGTCTGAATCCCCATGGGGCAGTTGGCAGGATGCTTCCAAGGCTTAAAAGAGGAGGCTAGTTGATATGGTTCCATTAACAATTTTAGTTTTTTCCTCTCTCACCTAGTTCAGGGACTTTCAACAAAGATTTTGAAAGTTCATTTTGGCAAGCGTGAACTATTTTCTGGAAATGACTTTTCTAAGTTTGGTTGCATCTTTTTCAAAATCAGTTGGGACTCTTTAGAAAATATTTCAAAATATTTTATGAATGCAGCATCAAGAAAATTTTGGAAGCTAGAATTTTTAGAAAGCTGAAGTGGAGGTTGGGGTTATAGTTCAGTGGTATAAGCATCTTCCTGATAAGCGTAGGGTCCTGAGCTCCATTCACAGTACAGCCACAAAAAACAAAAACAACAACAACAACAACAACAACAAAACCTACATAAATGGGGCAGCAAAATAGTTCAGTGGATTAAAGCACCTGCAAGCAGGCTCATGGCCCAGGGGTTTAATACCCAGGCCTGCTGTCCTGTCCCTGCCCCCAGGGCACTCTGAGACAGCAATTGAGACTGGGCGTGGTAGTACACCTGTAATCCCAGCTCTTGGGAGACTGTAAACAGGCAGATTACTATGAGTCTGATCTAGTAGTGAGACCCTGAACAGCCTGTAGGCCCTTCCCTGAAAAAGAAAAAAAAAAAAGAAAGAAAAAAAGAAAACTGAAGTGATTGACAACAAACTGTCAGACAGGAGATACTTGAACTTGTTTTTATCCATTAGATGTCTTAAGTAATGATAGCTCAAATAGCATGCAAGATTTCTCTTTGAAAATATAATCTATGGCAAAATGTAACTTATAAGTTTTCATTCAGAATTATTCTAATAAGAAGAATCTGAGGTTAGGTTTTTAGCTGGGCAAAATGGTATTCTATACAGAAAAATAAAACAAGATTGAGAAATCGGCGCTGTATGAAAGGAGAAGTTAGCACTCCCCTTGACAAGGATGGAAGAGGCCCTTGGGCCTGACAACATGCATACAGTTGAGGCATTGCTGCCTAGTTCGTGGCATCTGACCACTTTTTTTGCACCTACAATATTTAAATGGCAATGGAATACCCTTCTTTGACAAAACTAAGCAAAACAAAACAAAAAAGAAGACAAATGAACAACCATTTTGTATTTGTATATTCAAAATAGTTAGGATAGATATACAGCTACTTAATTCAGTGAATAGAAATATTTGTTCTAATAGTGTTTGTAAATAGGATATCATGTCTGCATCTTGAACAAGGAATAACCACTAAGACAACAATATGTAATGTACTAATTATTGAAACTATCCTACTAATTGGTTTTGAAACTGTCTCATTGCTATTTGTTTCTCAATAAAATTATTTAAAAAAAGAAAAATTGATGGTTTTAAGTTTGGCAAATATATTGCAAATAAAATGAAGCTTATTTTCCCTGAAAAGTTTGCTTTGAAAAATATTTGCCTAAGAAAAATACTCTGAAAACAGGCAAATGTCAATATCTATGACATTATTTAGGTTGAATTATTGCATATTTTAATAAAAAAATAGTAGCATTGATAATGACCTTTGCTGTGAACTGAATTTTGCAGTTGTGGCCATCTATGTGTGAATAGAGTCCCTTTATCAGTGTTCACTAGAGGACCAGCCTGGGGTTTACTACAGAGTCAGCTATGAGTCCAGGTTGGAAAGCTGCACTAGAAAACCAGAGTCTGCGCTGGAGCCTGAAGAAATGGGAGCCCAAGTTCAAAGGTGATAGTGAAGACTAGAGTTTTCCCCAAAAGGTCAAAGGACAGATTTCTTTCCTCTTTCCCTTTTCATTCCACCCAGGCTCCAAGCCTATTGATTGAAGCCACCTGCACCTAGGGTGAGTCTTCTCTCCTTAGTGTGTGGCCCAATATGTCAGTTATCCATAGCTGCACCTAGAACTGTGCTCCACTAATCTGCTCAACACTTGTTAATCTATTCAATTGAATGTTACAATGAACTATTGGAGGACCTAACTCATCCAATGTTGCTGTATTTGGAGAGAGAGCCTTTTGTAGGCAGTTAAGGTTGAGTTAGGTCATAAAGGTTGTGCCCTGACTCAACAGGATTAGTACCTTTATAAAAAGAGATGGCAAGAAGCTTGTGGTTGTGTCTCCCTCCTTCCCCACATGAGGACAGTGTGAGTGGGTAGCTGCCTGCAATCTAGGGAGAAAGCCCTTAGCAAAAACTGAATCACTTTTAATACTGGGTGTCCTAAGCTACAGAGCTGAGAAATAAGTTTTTGTTGTTTAAGTCACTCTGTGTTATTTTTGGTATAGCAGCCTGAAGTATAAATATAGCTCAGCAGGATTTACTATGAGTTTGGCAGGTATTACAGCAAATGTAAAGATATTTTCTTTTTCTTTTTTAAATATATGTACTTAGCACAGGGTCTACAGGTTCTGCAGGGTCTCACTACACAGATCAGACTCATAATGATCCTTCTGTTTTCAGCCTCTTAAGTTCTGGGATTACAGGCATGAGCTGCCATGCCCAGTCTCAATCACACCCATCTCAGGGCACCCCGGGGCGGGGTCGGCATGGCATCCTGGGCATTAAACCCTGGCTGCTGCACTCTGCCCAAGCAGGAACTTTAGTCCACTGAGCTATCATTCTTTTTTTTCTTTCTTTCTTTTTTTTTTTTTTTTTGCAGAACCGGGGATTGAAGTCAGATCTTTGCATTTGCCAGTCAAGCACTTATCCTACTGAGCCATCTCCCTGGCCCTTTTTTTTATTTTTTATTTTTATTTTCTTTTTTAAAAGAATAAAAAATTCTACTTTAATCTTGCAGTTTTAGAAAAAAAATTAATCTCTGGCATTTTGTGAAAATAATGTGCTAATACTGAAAGACATAATTTAGAAAAATTATTGGTACCAGAGTGAAGAAACTAATTAAAGCAGATAAATATACACCAAAGAAAATTGTTTTGCTTATGTTGTTTTAAAATGCTCACATATTAAGCATATATTAAGCATTTTAAAATAGATATTGTATGTTTATTTTTAAAATCTTATTTTTTTAAAATAATGTGGACCAGAATTACATTTGCTTCTCCAAATAAATTAGACTCATCATGCCTGGCAACAGTTAAACATTGCAAAATAAATATTTTATTTTGCTTTACCACCTTTCCATTCTCAAAATTGTCCTGCACTTGGTCCACAAAATATACGGTCACCTATGGGAAGGATGAGATAGTCTGTTTGAGTAATGTGTTGTCACTGAGGTTTGTTGTCTATTGGGCTGATAGTTCTAAAGTGAGTTCCTCCTATTTACTAGAGATAAGAACTAGTGCTACATGTACTCAAATTTATGGCTGCCATGGAAGAGCACAATTCTCAGCATCTCTTGAAGAAAGGGGTAGAACATAAGTGGATTCTAGTCAATGGAGCAATGTGTTTTGCATCTGGGACTAGCTCTTGAAGTCTCCCTTCCATGTTCCTTTAACATCTTTTCTTTCCTTTCCTACTGGATAGATATAATCCAGTTGAAGATTTGAAAGCCCTAAAGGATGGTGAGATGATTGACAGATGTTCCGAAGTCCTTGCATAACTGGAAGGAAGCATTCTCTGTAGGCTTATATTAAACTATATGACATGAAGAGCAGTGAACCATGTTCAGCAGTGCCTCTGTGATGTGGGGGCTGATGGTTAGAACTGGAAGGATGGTGTATCTTTTTTTTAATGTATCGGTTATTTAATTAGGTTCTTAGTAAGAAATTTAGAACACTAATTTATGAGGATAAATTCCATTTTTCAGAGCAAAAATGGATCGCAGGTAGCCCTGGAGCTGAGGAACTGCTTTGATTTTTGGTACAAACTGTGGTCTACTGCTTTCTGATCCACCTTGTGCTGCTCTGAAATCTGGTATCTCTCTTGGTTTAGAAGACCCCACCCTCCTGGTGTCTGGGTTTCTACAGCTTCTTTTTGAAATAAGCATCAGTGAGGTGTTTGGGGATTTTCACTTTGCTGATATCAGTGTTTGTAGAGGTGACAATGACAAATTTCTGGTCTGTTCTTCATAGAGAAACACAGTTAAGGCTAAGAGGCCCAGTTACAAGAAGCAAGCCACTGGCCAGCTGCTTCAGGAAGACCACTCTCTTGCCACTGCGATGCCCAGTGAGGATGATCAAGATAGTACTGGGAGTGATGCTAGCTCAAAGTTTTCTCACATGTGACTGAAGGGTTTCTTGTCATGGTTCAAGAGCTTTCAGAGCACATCTTCAGGAAGGTAGTATCTAGACATCTTTTGAAGCTTAACTACCCAGGTACCTCCATTCTTGTCCCTACTGTATGATTTTATGATCGTAGGAAGAACTTTCTCCTTTTTCTTCTCAACCTTTGATTTAGCAGCTGTGTATTTTCTCTTGTATAAAGCCTTTTTGGAATACATAGCAGATCAGGAGTATCTACCAATTCCTCTAACCAGGACAGGATTTTGGTTGCAGTGGGACTGCCCCTTCTTGGCCTCTTTTGTCTTCACCTTACCCTTTTTACCAGTACCACTGGCAGGAGCCTTGTTGGCTTCAGGTTTCTTCTCTGTAGTGTCTGGCTTTTCAGTTTTTTCATCCACAATCTTGCAATATGGGAAAGAGAACTAAGTTTCCCAGTATTCTGTGTCTTTTTTTTTTTTTTCCTGTATTTTTAGGGAAGGGTCTACTGGGTGTTCCAGGTCTCACTACTAGATCAGACTCATGGTGATCCACCTGTTTACAGCTTCCCAAGTGCTGGGATTACAGGTACACACCACCACACCCAGTATCAATTGCCGTCTCAGCATGCCCTTGGGGTGGGGCCCACATAGCAGGCCCAGCGATCAAATCCCAGGCTCCTGTGCCTGCTTGCAGGTACTTTAATCTGTTGAGCTATAGGATTGTACATTTTGATTAGCGTAGTATACAATTTCCTCCTGGGAATATTAATCACTGGTTGTTTCTGTACTTGGCTGGGTCTCCTGCTCTAATCCTATGTGACTTGACTTGAAAGATTTCCAAAGAATAAAGAGTATACTGAGTACTAAACCAACTGGTAACAAAAGTAGTTGGTATCTTTATAGTGTATAGATGAAGAGATGCACATCTATCTTTGGGCTTTTTGGATTGTCCTTATAATAAAATATATTAAACATGAAAGTTATGTTAAAAGTATTAACTGTGTATTGCTACATGTAGCATGCATCATTAAGTAAAATTACTGTGCTAAGTGTGAATATAAATATAATTCTCAAAACAACTGTTTGATGTAGTTATTTTAACTCCAGTTTATAGATATGAATGTAGACGTGTAAAACAGGGGTCCCCGTCTCCCCTATTGCTTGCACAACCAGACCAGTAGAGGCATGAGATTCTCCTAGGAGCATGAACTGTGAACTGAAGGATCCAGGCTGCACACTCCTCATGGGAATCTAATGTAATAATTGAAATAGAGTGCATGATGTAAATACTAATAGAAGTCAAGGACAGAATAAATGTAAAGCCCTTGAATCATCCAGAAACTTGCTTCCCCCATTGGTGGAAAAGATTGACCTCTATGAAACTAGTCTGTGGTGCCCAAAATGCTGGGAACTACTAGCTTAAGTCATGTAGATCGCTCACCACAGGTCACATGTGTCGAAATGGCCAAGCAAGAATTTACTCACAGGTGTATTTGCCTTGCAAACCTGAGCCCTTGACAGAGACATCACTGTATCAGCCATGACAGAGACATCCACTTTCGGTCCTAGGACCTCTTAAATCTCACCGTGATTCATCATGCGTGATGATCTGATGAGTGACATTTCTGCACACTCACTGCCTGTTGGGCCCTGAGCTCTAGGCTTTGCATCAGTTAGCTCATTAAATCTTCACGGCTGTCCCACGAGACGGATGTTCTTATTGTCTGTTATGTGTGTACCGAGTGTTTCTGGTAGCTACAACAAACAGTAAATATAAATCAGTTTCTAGCTTAGAGCTGAGAAATATGCAGCTTGGTGAGACTAAGTCACCAGTGACACAGCTGGGAACTTTCTTTCAAGGAAAGCGTCTTGGGAA